CATGGGGCAGCTTTCCCAAAGTGGCCTTTGGTTTGGGCTTCTAGCCAGAGATTTCAGAAACCCCATTCACCATTGTCCCATATTCATCTGCAAAAAGTTGGTGAAACAGGCAAAGGTGTTTTCTGGGGAAGCCTGCCCGTCGTCAGAGGGTGCCCTGGTTTAAAACTTGGACAGGCAGGGAAGGGCCTGACCAGGGCTAAAGGGTTCTCCATTCCCTGGAGATCTTGCAGCGACAGAAGGGACTCCATCTTTAAGATGAAACTCCTGCTTCCTTCTTTGTCCCTGAAACATGTGGGCCACCAGGTCACACAGGGTCCATGTCTTCCCATCCATCTCCCTCTTTCTCGCTCTCTCCCTGCTTCCCTGCCTGCAGGCTGCCTGTTAATTAAGCCCAAGTCCAGCCTCAAGATCAGAGCAGTAGTGTCTCAGGCTGCATGCTGGCCTCCAGAGGAGAAGGATTTTATATGGCAACAAGAGGGAGGGTGGTGTGTTCTCAGTGGCCAAGATCTAACAAGGCACACTCCGGCCCCTCCTTCAGGGGAGGCAGGCTTGAGCATGGAGGTGCAGCAGGGTCCACAGAGCTGCCCCGGGGTAGGAAGGGTGGCCACGACCCACGGGCAGGCTCCTCTCCACACCCCACAACCCCGGACTGTCTCTCATTCTCCTCGGTGCTTTCTGAGTTGCCCTCCTTATGCTCAGAGGAATCGCTGGCAGTGACAGAACAGAGATGACAAGCTATATTTCTGCCTTGAAGCTTTCTCCAGGCTGTTGGGAACTAGGTGCTTGTCAGTTCTAGGAAAGGAGAAATCTATGTATATTGTAGCCCTGAAGCAGTGCCCTGCGCAGGGACAGGCTGGCATCACCTCAGACTGTCCTTCCTCTCTCAAATGTGTATTTTATTGGTGCCTGCGTGGGGCCAGGGATGGCTGGCATCTCTTCCCTCATATTGGAGTGACTCGTGGGGGTGGGGGGTCAGGCTCCTCAGTGCTACCTCTGGGGTGGCGGTTGGCGACAGAGGCAGAGCTAGAGGTGAGAGACAACAAAGCTTGTGGCTGCACCACAACATCAGGAAGGAGCTCCCCTCTAGTGCCAGAAGGGACACAATTAGACGCAGAGGCTGAAGAACCAGGCGGGCGGGCCTTCCACCTTCCTCACTCTGACCCAGACCCTCTCCCTGCTGTGGCCTTTGGCAGAGGAGGGGGTGGTAAGGCCAAGAACGTCCGTACATTACAGGGTACAATTATTTCCTTATCATCGAGACCGTGAACACCTCGAAGACAGAGCCCATGTGTGTTTATGTGTGATCTCTGAAAAATACTTTTTAATGTTTATTTATTTTTGAGACAGAGCATGAGCGAGGGACTGACAGAGAGAGAGAGGGGGGTAACCAAAGCAGACTCCAGGCTCCTGGCTGTCAGCCCTGAGTCCGACGCGGGGTTTGAACTCACGGAGGGTGAGATCATGACCTGAGCCGAAGCTGGATGCTTAACTGACTGAGCCACCCAGGCGCCCCAGTGTGTGTGAGCTTTGTATGTCCAGGCCCTGGTATGTTGTAGGAGCATAATACATAGAGGCTAAATTAAAGCAATTTGCCCTTGCCCAGAAGAAGGGAGGAAGGGAGAGTAAAAAGCTACCCAAGAATAGAGGTTTCATCAGCCGCGTAGGCCCCAGGGACACATGGGAAATGAGGCAGGGGAGGCAGACATCGGTGGAGCTCCCAGGAGCGGCCCACCCCACACCTCAGGGCACAGCCACCTGCTTTCTTCTGGGAGCCCAGCATCCCCTCAGCACTTCCTACTGCAGCCACTCCCTTTGGATTGGTAAGAAATAGGAGAGCACAAAGAGGTGGGGAGGTGGGAAGAGCAAAATGTCTAGAGTCAGAAGACATGCCGCTTGCTGGCTGTGTTTTCAGGCGAGTCCAGTCCCTGACTTTCCTCAGCCGCATTATCCGCATCTGTAGAATGGGAACCACTAGCTGGCAAAGAGAAAGGCATCTCTCACACAGCGCAGATAGGATGTCAATTGGTGTGACCTTCCCATGGGTCATTTGTAAAAGTTCTTAAAAATGAAAATACCTTTGGAGTTGGCAGCTCCCATATCTAGAAACATCCTGAGGACAATGACCAAGTCTGGAGCAAATTCAGCGATAAGAATGGGCGTAATTGATAACAGCAAAAACCAGAAATAATCTAAACAACAAGCGGTAGGAATTGGGCTGAATAATTATAGCGTGTCCATAAATGGAATGCCATTTAGCCACAGGATTACAGTGTATATTTTCCTTATATGCAAAGATATTTATGATACATCGCTAAATATAAAAGCCTGATTGCAGAACAGTCTATAGAGGATAACACTGTTTTTAGGAAAGAAGAGTTTCATTTTTATGGGATTACAACTAACTTAAATTTTCTCTGTCTTATTTAACTATTTTGTACTAATCAGCATCTATTGTTCTGTAAAGATAATGAAAATTAAGTTGTATGAAAATATTGACCTCTACGGGTCATTCTGAGAGTTAAAGAAGATAGTACATATGGAAGTTGTTCGTAAACCAAAAAGTTACTGACTCAAGACGGGGTCCCTGCCCAAGAGGAACTTCCAGTTTGGAAAGAGAGGAAGAATACGTAAGATAACTATAGCATGAGACAGAATGTGGCAAGAGCTTTCAGAGAACGATAAACAGCATGTTACTTGGAAACACGGAGGAGGTAAAATTACTTGTGGTTCTAGAGGAGGGAGCCAGAATGTTTGAGTTGAATACTGAAGAATGGCGAAGGTCCTGTTAGGTAGTAATATAGAACTGGGGCAGCAGGAGAAGCAGGAAACTGTGGTACAGGTTTGGAGAATGGGAGAAGTTTGTGTCTGGACAGAGGACAGAGACCATATGAGTCACAGAAGGGTCTAGAAGGGCGGTTCGGGGCCAGACTGCAGACACCTTGAAGGCTGCACTTGGTAAAATGCCATCAGTGAACCTTTGTCGGTGCCTACTGTGAGTAGGGAGCCACTGAAAGTTCTGGGGGAGGAGCTGACGCCAGGGTAAACCCCTCAGGGGGAGTGAGGTTCTTCCTTCTCTGGGGCCTGGGATGGATGCAGAATAAGGGCTTCTGCCTGGGAAGCTCAGTCTGGAGGCAGCTGGCAAGCTGGAGGGGCAAACTGTGGTGTCGAGGAGGGGCTTGGCCGCCATGGTTGTGGCACGGGGCATGGAAGGGAGGGAGGAGCATCTTCTGCCCTGACTGGAAAGGGGTGGGCAGTGGTGGAAGAATGAAATGAAGGGGTGATCCAGGAGGGAAGACTAGGACACCTCTCCCAGCTTTGCTGCCCGGGACGGGGGTGTGGGGCCGGAGGTGGGGGGGGGGGGCGGGGCAGAGAACTGGGAGCCATTCACAGAATTCACCCAAGGCCCCAGGGAGGAGGAACAGGCTGGGGGTGTGGGGAGTGCAACAAGAGCAATCTGGTGCTCAGGATGTGTCCCCCTCAGTTGGTCCTGATCTCTTGAGCCTCTCTGTGTGGTGTCCCAAGGGCCTGCATTGGGGCGGGGGGGGGGGGTGCTGACCTGACCTCCCTGCTGCTTTGAATGTACCTCTAGTCCTCAGCTCCTAAGAGGCATCTGAAGGGGTGGGGAGGGGGTTTGTTTCCACCCAGTGAGCTTTTGTTAATGGAAATTCATTAAGCAATCCACCTATCTCGGAAGCTTCCCTCAGCTCATCCCCCCCTCCCAGCATGCCCCAGCTTACTCTTCCCTGCAGGCGGGAATTCATGCCCCCTCAGGATCCCGGATGCTCTGTCTCTGCCACCCTCACCCCCGGTGATGTGCACGCGCACGCTCACACACACACACACACACACACACACACCGGAAGGAAGGCGGGGAAGTCTTGTTCAGGCGGGGAATGTCTAAATTTCCATTTCCCCACTGCAGCTCCCAGCCCGGCCACTGTTTAGCTCCTCCTGTTGTCATGTCACTAGTTAATTACATTCTTTACTGAGGTGCAAATGTGTTTTTACAAGGAGACCAAGATGGTGTTAACTAGAAAGGAACTGTGGATGGTAAAGATGCATTTACCTCTGGTTGTAGGGCAGGGGCTCTTGGCTATATGCACCCCCACCCCCGGGCTGCCCTAAAAATGCAGCCCAGGCAAAAAAAAAAAAAAAGTGCAGCCCAGGCATGGAGCAGCCCTCTTCCACCCTCCATCTCGTGACCCTGCTATCCTAGCCCTCAGCACAGCCTCCTCGGAGTCAAATTAGCAACTCATCCATAAGAAGAAAATTAACGTGAGTGTCCAGGAAGTGTCAGGCCAGGCCTTAGGTCAGTGCAGACCACCAACCTCAGTTTCTGAAGATCGAAGTTCGTTTCAAGCATTGAGAACCAAAATGATTCACTTCGATCTAAAAATAAATCGGTAAGTGGTACAGCCAAAGCCACCTTCAGGCCAAGGCTGTCTTCAGTGTCAGGCTCTGCTCGGAGTCCGCTGCCCTCCTGACTCTTCCTCCCTTCTGCCCACAGGCCCCCTCCCCGCCCCCAGTAGTGTCTGCCCAGACCCGCAGCCAAAGTCTGCCACTGGAAAAGGATCTGAGACTCAGCCACACATCTGGAAACGTTGTGACTATTACCCTTCCTCTGAGCTCCCTACAATTTAGAACAAGAAGCCAGCGTTGCCCAACCCAGGGCCCAGAGTCACTCAGAGACTTGGCCCCATGTTGGGGGAGAGAGGGCAGAGCGCATAACCATATCAGACCAGACGGTTGATGACAGGGCATTTGGAACCATGACAAGGATTTGGGCTCTGAAATGGCTCGGGGGGGGGGGGGGGAAGGGGGGGGGGGGGGAAGAGGGGGCTGAGCAGCCACACTGAGGAGAGAGACCGGCTTGTTGCATATGGCAGGGAGGTCTGGAGAGCACATGGAAGATTCCCTCACAGCCAGGGGTGGCACCCCCTTGTTCTCTGACCACCCCGGCCTCTAATCCCTTCTGAGAGCTGCTCTGCCCTTTTTTACAGGTGCTCTGGCGCCAGCTGATGGGAAGAATTTCTGCCCCAGCCGGGAGTGAGAAGAGGGAGTGAGTCTCCTGAGGGCCATCCTCGAGTCCGCCAGGATCACCCGAACAGTAAGAAAAGCTTCTCCATCCTTAAACACATAGTTAAGCCCTCCAGGCAGCTGCTCTTGCCTTCTGAAAGCCTCGAGAAGAGGCTCCTCACATAAGCTGGCACTTAGCATACACAACCTTGGAGCGCCCACCTCGTATCCTTTTGTTCGTGCCTTCCCCCGCCCCGAGCTGCTTGAGGCCAGGACCAGGGCTGTGCCTTCTCCCTACGTACCTGTCTTCTCTCCTGCATAGTCTGGGAACAATAAAGTGCTGTCGATGCAGACTGACGGGCTGTTGCTTACATCCGCGGTGACGATAACGTACAGCCTTCTGGAGCAAGCGTTATCACCTAGGAACCGCCTAGGGACATTTGTTAAAATGCACGACCTGGACCTCACACCGGAGAGTCTGGTTTCTAAGCTGAGGTTCATACCGAAGCTGCACCCCAAGTGTTTCTGATGCACACAGAGGAAACTGCATTCCAGGTATCTCTGATGAACTCTGCGAGATAGTTCTTTAGAATGTATAAGGCATTTTGAATGGAGAATCTCATTTAATCCTCTTATCAGATAGGGCTTTTTTAATCCCCTTAAGTAACTTCACGATCTTGAAGACATAAGTATAGGCAGGGATTTAGAAATCCAGTTATCCAGAACAACCCTTTTTTCTTTCCAGTAGGCCATGATAAGGGCTGGATCTGTTATGGTGAGATTGGGCCCCGACTCCAAAGGACGCTGCCCATGACTTTGGAGGTTTCCCTGCTGTCCTAGAGGTGCCATGACCTTACAGTTCATCAGCCTTCATTTTGGGGGGCAGTCATCATTGCCTGATTCCTCACAAAAGCTGGTTTCCCTGGAGAGAGGGAAAGGGAGACAGTTGATCAGAAAGGTGAATGTTCCCGGGGCCAGCTCCGCAAGTTAGCAAGACCATAGATATTCCAGAGGACCACACGGGCAAGAACTGACTCCCAGGGTTTGTCTCGGTTCCTACGCCCTCTGGCCATTTGGGAAGCCAACCGTGGGGGGGGGGGGGGCATGCTGAAGCAGGCTGTGGCTCCTAGAGGTAAATGCCAGAGAAAAAGACATATCTAGGGGGTTCAAAGATTCACTCTTGAGCAAAGGAGTTTGGCAGTGCCCATTTCAGGGACAGATTGACAATCTTTTCAATGAGCCTGTGTGCACGGTCTTGTCAAAGGGAGATCACTGCAGACAGTAGTTGTGGTGAGGTCTTAAAAAGGATGAGGAGATGATGAAGGAAGGAAGGGAGGGAGGGAGGGAGGAAGGAAGGAAGGAAGGAAGGAAGGAAGGAAGGAAGGGAGGGAAGGAAGGAAAGAAGGAAGGAAAGGAAGGAAAGAAAGAAAGAAAGAAAGAAAAGAAAAAAGAAAGAAAGAAGGAAAGAAAGAAAGAAAGAAAAGAAAAAAGAAAAAAGAAAGAGAAAGAAGGAAGGAAAGGAAGGAAGGAAGGGATGGTGGGAGAGAGGGAGGGAGGGAGGGAAAGAAAGAAGGAAGGAAGGAAGGGAAGGAAATAAGGAAGGAAAGAAAAAGAAAGAAAGAGAGAGAGAGAAAGAAAGAAAGAAAGAAAAGAAAAGAAAAGAAAAAAGAAAGAGGGAAGGAGGGAGGGAGGGAGGGAGGGAGGGAGGAAGGAAGGAAGGAAGGAAGGAAGGAAGGAAGGAAGGAAGGAAGGAAGGGAGAGAGAGACAGGATTAGACACTCCTGGTGAACCAGTGTGCACAGATGTTTTGGCTGAGTCAGGGAGACCTTCTCTGGGACTGGCAATCGCGCTGAAGTTCTTGCTGAACTGCTAGGTAGAGCCCTATTTCTCTCCACTCCGAGGCTGCAGATGCTGGAGTCCAAACAGATCAGACGGTGCCTGGGAGAATGGAGGTGCCCCACCCCCTTACATGCCAGAATAAAGGGAAGGATGGAAATGGGTTGAGGGACTGCTAACGCCCGCTGCACACTTTGGCTTTCCATAGAATAGAAACTTTCCATGGATGACTTAGGGGCGACCTCAAATATCCCCCTGACCTCCCCTCACTCTCCCTACACACACACACCCACACACACACACACACACACACACACTGACCACCAAACCATCTTGATGAATGTTAGACAAGTCTGTTCTGGGGGCTAAATACAGTTGACACCGTTGCTTGGATTGGTGCAGTCGGCAAGGACAATTTTTGCAGCTAATGCTGGCAGTGTGGCAATCAGAGGAGCCGCCAGCTGTCTCACTTAAATTCTTAGCTCTCTCGTTCTCTTTTTTTAAAACCGTTTTGCTTACATAATCCACCCCCTTTTTATTTTCTAATTCTCTCCTTGCAAAGCTGGCACCAGAGGGGAAGGGCTGGGGTGGAGGGGTAGCAATTACACATCAGTTTGGGGAGCATTTACATTTTGCAATTACAATTTAAAAATAAGCCTCGTTAATGATCTCCACGTGTCACCGACAAACCCTAACTGACATACTCTCCTGGGCTTGCCTGCCTCCCCCTGAAGGCAGAGGTACCCAGGGAGACACAGAGGGAGGCCGGGGGCAGCATGGGAGGGGCCGCAAGAGCAATTAGGGTGCCCTTGAGGTTGGTGCCGGACAGGTGTGGAGCTGAGCACCCAGAAACCAGGAATTCAGGACTCCAGCCTCTCTCCTCTTCCCTGCACTCACTCATGCTCCGTCCCCAGCCCATCTCCTTCTGGGCTCTGGAACAGCAGGACTCTGTCCTCAGGAGGCAATGCCAGTCCTCAGAGCTGTGGGAAAGGGAGCCTCTACTGCTGATACTCTTCCAGGTGGGAATTTTCAGAGTGCTGTTGGGCAAACGTAAATCCCGGTCCCCAGGATCCCGCCAGTGTGCCTGGATATTCATGGACTGGGTAGAGGGACTGATCACACGTGTGGGGCTCAGGAAGGGAATGGGATTAGTTGTTTCACAGTTCAGGAAGGATGTTTCTCCTCTTATAATTGGCTGACATATAGTTAATGAAGCCCTCTGATCCCCTGGGCAGGGACTTTGGGACCAGACGCACCCAGACTCCAATTCTAGCTCTGACGTTTGTCGGCTGTAAGATTTAGGGCAAGTTAACTGAACTTTTCTGACCGTCATTGTTTTTATGCAATTGGGATAATCGTATTTACCTTAGAAGGCTTCTTTGAGGATTAAATGAGATAACGTACTAGAAAGCACCTCACACAGTGGCTGGCGCGTGATAAATGCTCCGTAAATGTCAGCCCCGCGCCAAGCCCCTCCTTAGGAGCCCCAACACACTTCCTCCTGCCTCCATTAATGGTGTGCCTTTCCAGCTACCGTGGACACTAGGGAAGGGTGCTCTGGTCTGATTTCGCCAGGTCTCCCCTCCAAGTCAAGCCATCTGCACGCTGAGCAGCTCCTGAAGGAGACCCCACCCCCACCAACCCCAGCCCCTCACACACACCCCTGCCATCTCCCTGTAGGATTCTCTGCAGAGCCTTGGCCTCGGGCCTCCATTCCAGCCCTTCCACTTCTCGTGGGCTGGCTCCCGAATCTGGCTTTCAACAGCCCGCTTCTCTCTTCTGGACTCTACTTCAATGCAGTGACCTTTTATCAGGCCCCACCTGCGGCCTTCATCTGTGAAATGAGGGAGGTGGGCCGGGAGCTGTCTGAGGTGTCGTTCAGCCTTGACATCTATAAGCCTGGGCTCCTCCTTCCCCAGCGACTTCCTCCAGGCCAGTGCTGTGTGTAAGGCTTTCATCTCTTGAGCAGCTCCATCCAGGCCCATCTTGGGACTGACCACTTACAATCAAAAACTTACATTTGTTACTGGAAACATACATAAGATAGCTCTTCCCTGTGGCAAAACCAGATATGCATCTTATAAAAACCCTAGACAAGTGAGACTTCCAAAAGCAAGCCCCTTGGCACGGGCGTAGAGAACACAGAAGGGGACTATAGCTTACTGGTTTGGGTACTTAGGCAAACAGAGTTAAGTATCATATTTTAAATACTTTTTTTAAACATTTCTTTATTTTTGAGAGACAGAGACAGAGCACGAGTGGGAGAGGGGCAGAGAGAGAGACAGACACAGAATCCTAAGCAGGCTCCCGGCTCCAAGCTATCAGCACAGAGCTTGACACAGGGTTCGAACCCACGAACCGCAAGATCCTGAACTGAGCCAAAGCCGGCAAGTAACTAACTGAGCCACCTAGGAGCTCCTTAAATACTTCTCTAACAACTTCCTTTTTAAACCTATGTTATATAATGAATGGATAGCTTTTCAGGTGAAAATAAATAGATTGTCTCCATTATTTTCAATTGCTGAATGTAGTGTTCTCTTAGATGGATATTTCATTATTTAATTTTAGGTATTGTTAAAATTTGAAGTAAAGTATGTATGTGAGGAAAAGGCAGGGCAAAAGCCATAAAATAGAATAAAAAGTGACCCTTCTTTCCCTTACTTTGGTCCATCGATCCAAAATCAACCACAAGAAACAGTCTCTGATTTTAGTTATTTGGTGGCCAGTGTTTACTATGTTATATAATATACTTAAGGCCCTCTTTCTTCGTTTATGTATTTATCTATTAACTCCCTGCTATGACAGCCGGGGAAATTAGAACATATTCTCCCCCTTCCAATTTGGAGTAGTTTGATCATTTTTATTAAACCATATTTGACATTATCTATTTTTAATATATAGTATTATATAGAATGTAGTATGTATAAGTTACATGTTCTACACTATATACCACACAGCACTACATATAATTAACTATGTTTTATTTTTATAGTATAATAGCGGTTTTACAGATCTGAAGATTTATAGTCTATCACTTAGTTCCCTCTGCATTTCAACTCTAGGTTGATCATAAGATGGAAATATTATCCAACCACAGAACTGAATAGTGTGATTTGACCAGGGAAAAGGAAACAGAACATTACAACTTAGCCGCTGTGGTAGGATCTTCCGATCCCCCAGAGGTGACCACTCGCCCCTCATTCCCGTCCAGCCCCCTTCCCTCCCACTGGGTCACATCAGATTGTCACCATGTCT